TTTTCACATCACTTCACTGGAGAAACTGAAATATTACGATGAACCGTAATTTTTTCTAGGATGCATTTTTCAAGTGAGCCAGATGCATAGCCGACCTTTAGGTGCAAGGGAGATATAATATATAGAAAGGCTCTCATGAGTTAGCCAAGGAAACGCTGTTCACCTGATGCTTTTTTCCGTCCAACGACATCGTCAAGGGGTGGTAGGTGACCTCATAGGCTCGAGTGGACTGCGCCTCAACTTCAAAGGTCTCAGGTCCAGTCCATTGTCGATCACCATCAAAGACAGGACTCAAGCACCACGGAATATAGGTTCTATTAGCAATCTGTAGAAGGCGAGTGTCCGTCTGTCGAACAGGGCATTGAAACTGCTGCACTTCCTTTACGAGAGTGGGAGGAACGCAAAGTCCGGTCAAGGTGAGGCTAAGTTTATTCCAGCCTTCAAGTTTGCAGAGCAGATTCTACGTGAGGTGCAATGCAGATGAAAGTATTTGGGTAGATAGAGAAGCAAATTAGGCTAATACTTAACGCTAATTCTAAGGAAGAAATGTATTAAACGAAGTATCAAAATACAGGCAGGTTATCTAGACAGCCATTTCTATATAGAAGGTTGTAATTAATTTAATTAACTTGGACTCACAAATTGATATTCCCAATGAGATGTTTTCAATCTATTTCGTTTAAGGTAATGAAAGACTGGTAGCTGAATTTTCTGATAGACCTTGCGTTCCTAAAGAATTCCACGTAACCTTGCTTCCTAAAAGTTATTCTCATTAAGACAGGGCTGGACTGCAGTTTCGACCTCGCCTTCAGCGGGACTCGGAGTCAGACGAGGTCTAAGCTGAAGTCCACTCTTGCCTGGATAAGAATAGCTTATAGAAGCAAGGCTAATTGAAATCCAATGGATAAATAAGGTATAATCATATAATTGTGGGAAAATTATAATATTCGTATGTGAGTAGGGTTACGAGACTACCAGTAAATCAGTGCAATGCTATGTATTCACCCTATTTCGTGTAAGGTGGTGAAGGACTGGTAGTAGAATTTTCCCACAATGATATAAGTTGAGCTGACGTTTC